AAAAAAAAAAAAAAAAAAAAAAAAAACGAAGGCAACTAAGCAAAAGCTGTCATGATAAAACAAAGAAAAAGAAATATTATCACTTGACAAGTGTGAGGAACAGACCCATACTTATTTGTAGTAAAAAGTGAGATTCGAGCAATCTGATTGAAAGCTGCGAAGTACGGTTTATTGCTACCAGTTGGCCATGAGTTAAGAAAAGGAAGAATAGGATAGACACATAAGTAAAGACGCCGTTGTCGTCCAGACATCATTCTTGTTACTGCCTTCGTTATTAATAATACTACCGTTCCCATTACTTTTATTATTATTATTATTATTGTTCTCATTATTAATAATCCATTGCTCTGAATTAATGCTCGCTAGTTGCAAAACTTTGCTTGCCGTTAATTCTATATGCGTTTTTACTGCCCAATCTTCTTCGTTGGCATGAACGCAATTCATTATTTGCAAAGATTTTTCTTTTGAGTTATATGAGCTGCTTTCTTTTATTTTATTTGAAGCAGATTGTCGAATTCCTGAATAAGACTCTTACTTAACTGACAGGCGTAAATTAAATGAAATTGAGAAGTTAAAAGCGAAAAACTGGTAAGCCATTCCGTTACCTAAACGTAATACCTAAAAGAAAATAACAAACGATAAATAATGAAAATTAATGATTTTATTGTTACAAACCCAATAAATATTAAAAAGTAGAACTCTTATTATGTCCTAAACGAAAGTTTTAGATTATTCTTCAAATTTATGAACTTTCATAGTTGACATTGCAATGGTCAGTTTTATGAAACAAGCCTGTGGAGATCGTTCGTCTCAATTTCTACACTGCCTGAGACGAGCATACTTTTTGTTGAAATACGCTACTTAATAGCATTTTTTTAAAACAGAGGCGACTAAACTAATATAAACATTTACCATATTTTTAGCAAAAAATTTTGATATTATGAGTTACTATACACATGGTTAAGACGGTGACATTGTACCTGAGTGCTCAAATTCTATTTTTCAATTTAGCTCAAAAATTAACAGCACTGCACTTTGTTTCTGCCTTTTCTTTACGACCACTGCAAAAACGTGTTTGAAAAAACCTGGGATTTACTTCAAGACTAGCTGGAACTGCTTCAACAGCATTTAAATTAGACTGCTGTTAAACTCTTCTACAGACTTTTTTTGGTACGACGACAAACACGTCCACTGAACCTAACCTATTGCATTTGCGGATCAGGTCTGCAAAAATCGATCAAACCTCGTAATCGCCTTTGCTGTAACCTCAATTATTTGCAAAACAGTACGCTGGTATAAATATAAATAT